TTATCGGTTTGGAAGTGGTGGAGTGCATCCACATGAACGCAAGAAGATTTGCAGAATTTGGACCCATGGAGAATTGACATGGGAAATTGAATATTAATTTTTCTAATATATATATAATTGAATATTAATTTTGAATGAAGAAGAATATTCATTATGAGTCATGACAATCAAGTAAAATCTTGTTTAGCTTCATTTGAGTGAACTATACTTTTTTAAACATGACTATATACATTGGCCTAAACATTGTATTGTTGAAAAATTCATGGATTCATCCGTGTTTACTCTTACACAACGCTGCCTCTGATAGGGCCCAATAGTCTACTCTATAACTGAATTATTCACATAAAATATTTGTCACGTCAGTTGGTATATAAAATATTTATCATGAGCAAGGTCTAAAATATCGATGATAGTCCAAAAATACTAAAATTTCTATGAAAATATCAGGAAACTATCGATATCGGTAAAAATTGAATAAAAACCACGAAAATTATAAGAAAAACTTGAAAATTTTTATTGAAACTTTGGAGGATGTTTATTTAGTCAATTATCTATTAATTCATCACAAAAAATTGAAAGGAAATGCTTTGCATGATGAGTTTAATTGATTTAAGTTGATTATATAGCGGGCTGACAAACACTGCGAGTGTACAAAATATGTAGTAATTAATTAAAAAAGATTAAACACACCATAATCATTTATTTATAATGATTTACTATAATATTTTACACTTTATACATTGTATGGTAAGACACATGACATGAGTGACTTAGTATCACATAGAGTTCTTATGAGGTTCAAATTTTTTACTGTCTTCATCATCTCTATGTGTAGAATAAGTGTATTGTGAAGAGTAGTCATCAAATCATAAATCCCCAAAATAGTTTTTCATGTAGTTGTTAACATGACACCCATATGGATCCGAGATTGGTTGACGTTGTCAATATAGCGATATTTTCGATATTATCGTAATATTTTGCCCAAATATTATTGAAGCGTGTGAGAAATTATTGACATCGATATTTTCCGATAGGCTTATTATCACAAAAGGTCCCTAAGGTTTAGGAAACTATCAGATTGCATCCTTAATGTTTTTTTGTGTCATTGGTGGTCCTCAAGGTTAGTATGTGTAATCACAAATGGTCCCTGCCGTTAGGTTCCGTCAAAAACTCCGTTAGTTTGCTGATGTGGCATATATATATATATATCACAAAACATCCCTGAGGTTTACACATCTATCACAAATGGTCCTTGCAAATTTTTTTCATTTAAAATTCATAAAATTTTGGTTTTCTTTTTTAAATCTTATGAATTTTACATTATTTTAAGATATACATTGTATTTTAAATACACATGAATGGGTTTTTAAAAATTAATTTAAAATTCATAAAATTTAAAAATGAAAAAAATCAAGGGTTTAGGGTTTATAAATGGTCCTCAAGGTTAAAATCCTTATATAAATGGTTTTTTCATTTTTAAATTTTTTGAATTTTAGATTATTTTTTTAAAAAAACTTCATTAGTTTGTTGGTGTGGCATATATGTGGAGCCCTCATCTTCAAAAATATAGTATCATATGTATTTAAAATACAATATATATTTTTAAATATTATAAAAAACAAAAACAAAATTTTATGAATTTTAAATTAAAAAATTAAAAAATTTCGCAAGGACCATTTGTGATAGATGTGTAAACCTCAGGGATGTTTTGTGATATATATATAT